TAAGTGTGCTGGGACTAGGGGTCGTCTGAAGATTACCGGCGTTGTATTTGGTGGCTGAAGTTTCTTAAACTGTTCCTCAATAACTTTCTTGATTAGGGGAACTATCTCATCCATAACAGTTTTTGTGGATTCAGCTTGTTTAGCAGCTACTTGTGCATATGAAACCCTTGGCGTCTGATTCATCACTTTTCGCTTGGCTTCCGCGTAACTCAAAGATTCTAGAGTTTTTGTTCTTTGGATTAGCATTTCTTCCTTGAATTTAGCGCAATTTCTATACCGGGATGAGTGTTCTGAGCCGCAATTAACACATATCTTGGGCTCTGGGCATGGTCCGGTGTGAGGGGCTATACCGCAAACACAAATTTCATCATTCGGACATGATGTCGATAAGTGCCCATATCGCTGGCACTTAAAACACTGCATGGGGTTCGGCACATATGGGCGGACTTCTAGTGCGTAAAAGGCTGCTTTAATTCCGTGGTACTTGGGATCTATTGAATGTTAATATTAGGCTTGACGTCTCAATAAATTTGTCGTCTTTCCTTTTATATATCCTTTCACCTCGACGACTCCTTCATTTTCAAGTTCCGTTAAGATTTCTTGGATGGAGCAGTTTAATAAATCTGAACATGTGATCACACCTTTGCAAAAGTTTAACGTTCTGTGTGGTTTAACTCTAACAATATGTGGTCCAAGTCGTTCCATTTTCATCAGTCGCTTCGCCTGTGGGTCGGTTGCCGCTTCTAAAATCAATCCTTCTTTCGATTTCTTTATATTTTTTAAATTCCTACGACTCCTTGCAATTGCTTTGCAATGAGGAAGGGGCTCACTTTACTGAAGTTTTCCCCATCCAACCTTTCCATTACTAGGAACCGAGGGACATGTCCCGCCTTTTCCCAGTTAAACGGATCCTCTCTCCTTGCGGTTTCTCTCCAAGGGGCAGATTCACCTGCTCTTACCGCGTCACATGTTAAGTTGCCCCCCCCAGAATCCGTGGGGCTTTTTATACTACAGGATTCTGAGCTCTCCTGAACTCTACCTGCCTGGGGTACCACTCCTTGTGCGTTGCTTAACATGACCATATTCCCCTGTGTCGTAGGGGATACACGCCTCTTTAACGTGGAAGACACGGGGCCGTTAGGGACACACTTATGTAGTGCCATCCATCCCCTCAGCACGGCCAACACCTTGGGATTACCGGGCGAAGTGGGGGGCAAGGAGAGAAGGTATGGAAATGACAAGGATGGGTTATGGGTCTACTCGAGCCGACGTGGGGCTGAGAAAAAGGCCGAGGAGTCGGCATATGCCGCCCCCTCCACCAGTCCCACGCCGACCCGAGTGTAAAAAGGATGAAGGTAGTGGACAGATGGTCGGGCGCCGGCTGTACGGTCTTCGACACTACCGTAGCAACAGGACACCACCAGGCGCAGCGACGCTACGAAGGTGGTAATCCTACGGCATGTTCCAGCAACAATCCTGCTAGGTAACGCACAGGAATGCTACAGGAAGACACCGATAGTTGGCCGGACGGCCTATTATTATTATTATTATTATTATTATTATATTATTTTATATTATTATTATATTATTAATATTATTATATTTTATTATATTATTATTATTATTTAAATAGCCGTAGGGCTTTGTTACTCCCGTTAATCGGGGTGTTCTGGCTTAACCCGGACGCTTCAAGCATCAAAGGGGTAAGCCTCAATAGTGACCTCCCTAGGTACTTGCATTTCCCATAAATTTTCTTACTATGCGGGCAGTTGCCAGCAAAACTCCTTTCTGTATGATTTTGTAAATGTTTTCACTCAGTTCCAGCGCTTTGATGTTTTCTAGCAGCCTTCTTGGTATCACCCCTGTAGATGACATTATTATTGGTATTGTTTCCACGTACTTCATTTTCCACTGGCGTTTAATTTGAAATTCTAGCTCCCTGTATTTTGCAACTTTCTCATTATGTTTGTATGTTAAATTGTTACTATTAGGTATGGCCACATCAATCAGTGTTACTTTCTGGGCGTCCTTGTCGACAATGATTATGTCAGGTCTGTTTTGTTTTATGTATTGGTCCGTAAGCACAGTGCGATCCCAGTATAGTTTATACTTGTCGTTCTCGAGGACACATTGCGGTGTATATTTGTAGTACTGTAGCTTGCATTCGATCAGTTTGAATTTGTATGCCAACTCCTGGTGAATGATTTTGGCAGCTATGTCGTGGCGCTCCTTATAGTCCGTTGGAGCGAATGCTTGGCATCCACCAGTTACGTGCTGTATTGTTTCGGAGTCCTGACAGCCGTACCTGCATTTATCAGACTGTTGCAAGTTCTTAAGTATGAACCTCTTGTAATTGTTGGTAGGAATGACCTGGTCCTGTATAGCTACAAGGAATCCCTCAGTCTCAGGGAACATTTGGCCTGAGGTAAGCCAATAGTTTGACGCTTTCTTGTCAACGTTTTCTTGGCTAATCTCGTTGGCATGTCTCCCATGTAGAGGTTTTTCAATCCATCGTTGTAGCTTCTGTTCGTTGGTTTGGTGACTCGGTTGGTCATCTCGTCTACTAAGGTGTAAGGGCGTTGTGTCATCTATTGAGCATATGATGCGATGCAGCTCAGAGATCTCGGCCTTCTCAAAGAAGTAGGATCGCAAGGCGAGTACCTGTTGAGCTAGCTGCTTGCTGATGTCCATTAGACCTCTTCCTCCTAACTGTCGGGGTAAGGTTGTGCGCTCTATTGCACTGCGAGGATGGTGCGCTCCTTTTTTTGTTAGCATAGTCCTTACCCGCCTCTCTAGTTTCTCGATGTCAGTTTTACTCCACAGAACTATACCGAACGAGTAGTTCAAGGCAGAGCATGCGTAGGTGTTAATCGCCTTGACTAGATTCTTACTATTGAGTTCTGTTTTCAGAAGTAGCCGTATTCTTTTTGTGAAGGTCTGCGATATAGCTTCCTTCATTTTTTATGGTCTATCCTTCGGGCCTGCGCCATTCCAAGGTACTTGTATGTGTCATTTGCGTCCATTGCGTCAATGTTTTGGCCTCTGCAGCTTGAAAATCCTCCAGGGTAGATGTTCCCCCTACGTATAGATAAGGTTTTGCATTTATCCATCCCAAATCGCATACTTATGTCATCTGAGAACTGACCGACTATCTCTAGCAGCTGTTTCATTTGATTCTCAGTAGCAGCTATTACCTTTAGGTCGTCCATATACAGCAAGTGGTTCAGTTTTATGGATGCGTTCCTGTTATCTTCAGACTATATCCATACCCTGTTGCATTTAAGAGGTTTGAGAGGGGATTTATAGCTAGGCAAAACCATAGGGGACTTAATGAATCACCCTGAAAGAGACCTCTTCGGATAGAGATCGTCTCAGTTTGAATGGTGCTGGTCCCGTTTGTATGCAGTGTTATTCTGGTTCTCCAGGTCTTCAGCATATGTTCTAATAGGGCCACTACATGCTCATCTACCTTATAGAGCCTCAGCACCCTGACAAGCCACTCATGAGGTACAGAATCGTATGCCTTCTGATAGTCGATGTACGTAATGTATAGGTTCCTTTTGTTGGTATAGGCTTGGTTACAGATGACTGAGTCGATAGCCAGCTGTTCTTTGCATCCCATAGCTCCCTTAGCACAGCCTTTTTGTTGTGGCGCAATAATATCGTTTTCTTCACAATGAGCATAAATTCGCTTCGATATACAAGCAGTGACCACCTTGTATAGCGTAGGAAGGCAGGTAATTGGGCGGTATTTTGCTGGGTCTTCTGTATTATTGTGATCTTTTGGTATTAATACCGTTAGCCCTTGTGTTAGGAACGTTGGAGTCTTATTTGGATTCAAAAGCATGTCATTGATATATCTTGTTAGTTGTTCATGCATGCACCAAAGCTTCTTTATCCAGTAGCCATGAATCTGGTCTGGGCCCGGGGCCTTCCAATTATGCAACTGCTTAACGATATCCACGATTTCTTGTTTGGTATATGCCCTATACTGCATGGGATTGCAATAATGGCTCTTCGCTTCTTCATCTGTAATCCATCCTGCACACTTGTTGTAATAAGCTGTCGAGCCAAACTGCTTGCCCCAAAATTCCTCTACTTGGTCCTTTGTGGGCACCGTTTTGCTCTTTTCCTGGGGTTCGGATGACAGTTTCCTGTAGAATGCCTTTTCGGATCGTTGAAAGAGCGCATTGTCGTGCTTTCTGTGACTGGACGCTTTATACCTTTTCAATCGCTGAGTATATACGGACAGTTTTTGCTTCAAGGTATCAAGGCATTGCCACTCGTTGATGTTAGTTGCGTCTTGGTGAGAATGATGGTGGAGTCGTTGCATTATTTCCATAGCTTGCTTTCGGACTTTTCGAGTTGTTATTCCTCGTGTGAATTGGGTAAGACGTCCGATATCTCTGCGAATTTCTGCCGTTCTCTTTCCAGACGTTTTTCCCATTTTGGTGTTATTGGTTTTACTGAATTTTCAGTAATCTTTTGAGTTGGCATTTTGACACCAAGTGTTCTTACTGTTGCAACAGCTGCACAGTATATCAGTGTGTGAAGTTGTTCTATACAGTTGGAGTGTGCTAGATACTCTGGCAGGATCTGTTTATTTAACTGACACAATACCACAGCAAGCTTTCTAGATGACTTCAACTTTGGTAATGGTGGTCTTTCTAGCGGGTTCGTTCCATCAAATTCGGCATATGCTCTACCCATTTCAGTTATTAATACCAAATATTCTGTGTCTTGATCATTACTGTCGTCAACTCCAGGCTGTTCACTTTCTATCTGTTCTTGCTCAGATTGACCATTATCGCGTATTTCGTTATTACTCCCTTCTTGTTGCATAAGATCAAGCTGCACTTCCTGTTTGATGGCATTCAGCCGTGGTTGTGGGATAAGATTTTTGATTATCACTCGATATTGGTCTGCCACTCTCTGCTGAGATACTTTGATCTCCGGATATCACTACAGAAAGCGGTATGAAGTCGTGGTCTGTAGCCGATTGTTTCTCTACCTAGGTTGGTAACAGTCCCACGCCGACCCGAGTGTAAAAAGGATGAAGGTAGTGGACAGATGGTCGGGCGCCGGCTGTACGGTCTTCGACACTACCGTAGCAAGAGGACACCACCAGGCGCAGCGACGCTACGAAGGTGGTAATCCTACGGCATGTTCCAGCAACAATCCTGCTAGGTAACGCACAGGAATGCTACAGGAAGACACCGATAGTTGGCCGGACGGCCTATTATTATTATTATTTTATTATTATTATGATTAATTATTATTATTATTATTATATAACTATTATATTAGTATTATAATTATTATTATTATTATTATTATAATTATAGTATATTATTATTATAATTACAATTATATATATTATATAATTATTATTATATTATAATTATGATTATTATTATTATTATTATATTATTATTATTATTATTATTAGATTATTATTATGATTATTATTATGATAACTATTATTATAATTATTTATTTTATTTTATTATTATATTATCATATTATTATTATTATTTTATTGATTATTATTATTATTATAACTATTATTATTATTATTATAATTATTTAATGATTATGATTATGATTATTATAATAATAATATTATTATTATGATTATTATTATTATTATAATATTATTATATTAATATTATTATTATAACTCTTATTATTATTATAATTATTATTATTATTATAGCTATTATTATTTTTTATGATTATTATTATTATAACTATCATTATTATTATTATTATAATATAATTATTATTATTATTATAATAATAATTAGTTATTATTATTATAATTATAATTATTAGTATTTATTTATTATTATTATAATTATTATTATTATTATTATTATTATTATTTTATCTTTTTTTTTTCACGCTACAGGACCGTTTTCTATTAGTAGCGGTTATCTATATTATGGAACGGTTGACCTCTACGCCGGGTCCTCGCCGAGGACCTGGGGGTACAGATCTTTGTAGTTTATGAGCTGGTTATGTTATAACTTTCCTAATTATGTGCGATGTGCCTAATAGGCGATCTTCTGTAACTGATAGAAATTATGATCTCCTGGTATCCCTTTTAGGTTATCTAGGATGTTGCGAGTGACATATCCAGTTGCACCAATCACTACGGGAATAACAACTGCCTTTGTATGCCACATTCTTTGCACTTCTATGAGTAATGATTTGTATTTTAGTGCTTTTCAGCCTCCTTTTGTATGACATGTCTATCTGCAGGTACCGATATATCAATTATATAGCACATTTCGGTGATTTTATAACAATATCTGGTCTGTTTGCTTTTATTTCTCTATCCGTGATAACGGGATGGTCATACATTATTGTGATACTACCATCTTCACTTCGTGTTATTCTGTCGGGGTGATGCTCATACCATTTCGTCGATTTTATTGGACAACCAAGGTGGCGAGACACTTCTCGATGGATGGCTGCGCAGACATTATTGTGCCTGTCAGTATCTTCTTTTGGCGCTAGTATTGGACATGCAGATATTATATGTTCAACAGTTTCATTGGAATGTGACACAATCTGCATTTACCATCCTCCTGTCTTGTGTATTGCTTGCTCAATGTAACGCGTTTTCAAGGCTTGGTCTTGTGCTGCCACCAGCAAGCTTTCGGTTTCCCCTTTTAAATCTCCGTATTGTAACCATCCAAATGACAGTCTTAAGTCAACCGAAGCTCCTCCATTTGACGGATATGCTGTCCGTTTGTAGGGCTTACTCCGCCATTTCTCTTCGACACATTGCTTCAAGTACAGTTTGATGGACCTGTTACCTCGCTCGACCGTATGTCCGGCTTCCGCAGCTTCTAATTTGATCTTATTACTACGCTTTACAATAGATCTATTTGTTGTTTCTATTGTCATGTGCTAGTAACATCTGTAGTAGGCGGTCTTGCTCGATCTGGTTTGAATATACTGCCCTACTGAGAAGATAGTATTGTTGTACGTTTCTTCTATTTGCTTTAGTCCTCGTCCCCCTTTCTTTCGTGGCACGTATAATCTGTCGATGTCTGCTTTGGGATGAAGGATATTATGTGTTGTCATTAGTTTTCTTGTTTTGCGATCCATTTGTCTTATGTCATCCAATGTCCAATTGATTATACCAAAGCTGTACTGCATGATTGGTATGGCAAGAGCTCCAATTGCTGTTATCTTGTTTCTAGACGTGAGTTGAGTTTGCAGAATTTTACGTACTCTCGTTATATACTCATGTCTAATATCAACTTTCAGTGAATCGTGGGTGATGTGTGAGCCTTCTTTAATTCCCAGGTACTTGTACACTCCGCCATGCTCTAGTGATTTGATCGTCTCCTTCATCAACTATTATATTAGCAGAGTCATAATGCATTCCTCTCCTGAATGTGACTACAGCGCACTTATCGAGACCGAAGCTCATCTGTATGTCGTCGCTAAATTTTTTTACAATATTGAGAGACGTTTTCAGTTTGTTTTGGCTGGGAGATATGAGCTTCAGGTCATCCATATATAGCAAATGGGAGAGACAATCATTTGCTCCTTTAAGTTGGTAACCTAGGTTGGCCTCGTTGAGCAGCGTACTTAAAGGAACCATCGCAATCACAAACAGAAGAGGTGACAAGGTATCACCTTGATATATACCTCTTTTTATCTGTATGGGTCCTAACTCTATTTCTTCCCCATTATTACTGACTAACAGGGTAGTACTCCATAGCGAAATCAATCGCTTACATAGATCAATGATCTTCTCAGATGTTCCTATAAGCTTCAGAGATTTCAGGAGCCAGCTGTGCGGGACGCTGTCGAATGCCTTTCTATATCAATCCATCCAATGCTAAGATTTTTTTTGTTCTCTTTACAATCTTCTACAATGGCTTTCGAGAGGAGTAGCTGATCCTTGCAACCAAAGAGGCCCTTGCCACAGCCTTTTTGTTCTGTTGGTATTATCTTATTATCATTTACATAATCAGATATTCTGCTGGCTACTACTTAGTTAACAATTTGTACAAGGTGTTCAGACAGGTGATAGGCCTATATTTTTGGGGTCCTTACTATCTCCAGACTTTGGAAGAAGGTATGTTTTACCCTTTGGCAGCCAGTTCGGGATATCTGTTCCGTTATCGAGGTAACTATTATATATCATTGTTATTGTTTCGTGTGTGGACACTAGATGTTTCAGCCAGAAATTAGGTATCTGGTCTATACCAGGGGCTTTCCAATTTTGGGCCTGCTGTAGTGCTGATCTGACTTCCACGACACTGATATTTTGCCAGCTCATGTTGTGGCTCTATCCCTTTCTACCTTTTTCAGCCACTTTGCGTTCTCGTTGTGGTTAACACTTTTCTCGAAAATACTTTTCCAATACGTTTCAGTTGTAGAGATGGCTGGAGCTTCAATGGGTTCCCTTTTCCTTCTCGCAGCTCCCTATAAAATGCTTTGGGATTGACATTAAAGAGACTATTTTGCTTGTGCTGCTCTTGTCGATTCTTGTACCTTCTGAGTCTTTGAGCAGTGGCCGAGATTTGTTGTTTCATTACCTCTATCTTCTCTATTAGCGTTTTTCCTTCTGTGACGTATTTGTTTAACAGCATCTTCCCTTTAGCCGACTCTGCGGACAGCCTGCCATTTTGTATGTGAACTAAATTCGATAAGTCTCTCCTGAGGCCAAAACTTTATTACTTAGCCGCCTCTGCCAGTTAGGTGTTTGCTTTGGGGTCCCAGCTATTCTTTTTCGCGCTGTCGGTTTTACTAATTTTGATGTAATCACATATGCTGTAGCATAAATGAGGCAATCTATCTTTATTAGGTCTTTCTGTCCCATTGTTTGCAATATGTTGCTAACTATGCAGTTGCCTTCCTCGATGAGTCGCTTTGCTCTTTTACTAGTGTATATTCTGGGCAGACAGTCACGTTCAGATATGCTTTTTTCAATCAGGCTTAGATATTTGTCCTTTATTTCTTTGTGCATGTCAGATTCTTCAACATGTTCTTCCGGTACCTGTGCGACATCGTGATGGTCTACTGTCTTTTCTCTATCGATCGTTTCTTTAATGCTTTCAATCAGTTCATTTATGACTTCTTCTGATAACCTTTTATTCTGTTGGATGTACCTTCTTTGGTTTTGCAGTTTGTTTGCATCGATGTTAAGTCTGGAGTCTGGGTTGCGCCTTCTCCACATCTTATAGACTGCAACATAGGTATTCCTATCAGTAAGCCTACAGTAATGATAACACCACATCACTTCTCTCAACTCTTCTTCACTCCAGGGTATTCTTTTACCCCTGGTCTTTTCGTCTTTTCGTCTAT